AGAAGATGGATAGAGGAGAAGATAGGTGGAGAGGAGACAGACAGGTCAAAGAGGCAGGGATGGAGCCAGTAAAGGTGAGTGTAGGTGGGGAGGTAGGGAGGAGATAGGTCAGTCCAGGGAGGACGGACAGGTCAAGGTGGCGGGATGAGGTTAGTAGGTAGGAGATGGGGGTGCGGCTTGAGGTGGGAGGAGGGAATAGGTGGGAGGAAGGACAGGTTAGGGAGGCAGGGACGAGCTGGGCTGGTTTTGGAATGCGGTAGGGGGAGGGGAGATTTTGAAGCTTGTGAAGTCCACATTGATACCATTGGGCTGCAGGGTTCCCAAGCGGAATATGAGTTGCTGTTCCTGCAACCTTCGGGTAGCATCGTTGTGGCACTGCAGGAGGCCCAGGATGGACATGTCGTCTGAGGAATGGGAGGGGGAGTTGAAATGGTTCGCGACTGGGAGGTGCAGTTATTTTTTGCGAACCGAGCGTAGGTGTTCTGCAAAGCGATCCCCAAGCCTCCGCTTGGTTTCTCCGATGTAGAGGAGGCCACAACGGGAACAGCGGATGCAGTATACCACATTAGCAGATGTGCTGGTGAACATCTGCTTGATGTGGAAAGTCTTCTTGGGCCCTGGGATGGGGGTGAGGGGGGAGGTGTAGGGACAGGTGTAGCACTTCCTGCGGTTGCAGGGAAAAGTGCCAGGTGAGGTGGGGCTGGAGGGGAGTGTGGAGCAGACAAGGGAGTCACGGAGAGAGTGGTCCCTCCGGAAAGCAGATAAGGGTGGGGAGGGAAAAATGTCTTTGGTGGTGGGGTCACAAGCTTCAAAATCTCCCCTCCCCCTACCGCATCCCAAAACCAGCCCAGCTCGTCCCCGCCTCCCTAACCTGTCCTTCCTCCCACCTATCCCCTCCTCCCACCTCATGCCCCACCCCATCTCCTACCTACTAACCTCATCCCGCCCCCTTGACCTGTCCGTCCTCCCTGGACTGACCTATCTCCTCCCTACCTCCCCACCTACACTCACCTTTACTGGTTCCATCCCCGCCTCTTTGACCGGTCTGTCTCCTCTCCACCTATCTTCTCCTCTACCCATCTTCTATCCGCCTCCCCTTCTCTCCCTATTTATTTCAGAACTCCCTTCCCCTCCCCCATTTCTGAAGAAGGGTCTAGACCCAAAACGTCAGCCTTCCTGCTCCTCTGATGCTGCTTGGCCTGCTGTGTTCATCCAGCTCTACACCTTGTTATCTCTTATTTAAGTTTGATTTAACTGATGGACCCCAGTTTCTATCCTGTGAACTATGAAGTTTTCTCACATGAATACTGTCAAAAGTGAGTTTAGACTTCTTCAGCATCTAGTATCCTACAGATTTCTAACCAAATACTTTTGGTTTGAAAGTTTCACAAGCTGAGCTTCTACGCTGAGATAATTTATTTCCTTGATTGCTCTGAAAAATCCCTTTTCTAGGTGGGAAGGTATATTTACTTCTGACCATGGTCATCTCCTCTGGATTGCTCTAAAAACTTTTAGTCTCGAGTTTCCTAAACTAAAATCAATCCCCGATTATCTTGAATCAAAGCAAAGCTAATGGTGTTCAATGTTTACTGCACCCTTCATAAACCACTACAGTAAAAACAATTTTTCATTAATATCCAGGAGTTCCCTGTTTTCTGACATGTAATGGAGTAGGTCATTGTTCCAGAAGGACCTAACTATTGTTTAAAACATTTAGAAAAGTAACCAACCCGAAAATACAGCTTTAAAATCTAAGCTTTTGAAATGACATTAATAAGTATAATAAGTCAGGTACCTTTCATCATCTTAGCACCTTTCCCAACTTCTGGTAATACCAAGTCACTCTTTCACACTCTCTTTTGGTCTCTCACTCTCTCTCGCTTCTCTGAGTCTCTCACTGTCTCTCTCTCTCACACACAATCCCTCTTGTGCTATCTCTCTTACTATTGCATATCTTTTGTAATTCATCTCTTGTGCTATCTATCTCTTGTGAACTTTTGTCATGCTGTTGCTCTCGCTCTCTCTCTATCTCTTATTTGCCCTCCCTTACTCGTACATTTTCACTAGTACTATTTAACACTGTATCTCTCTCCCCTTCTCATTGCTCTGTTTTGTACTATTTCCCTCATTCTATCTGTTTCACATCCTATCTCTTGTACTCCCTCTCTTGCCCTTGCTCTTGTGCTGTCTCTTGCAGGATTTCTTTTGCTGTCATGCTATTCCTCTCGCACTTCCTCTCATGCTTTCTCTCTCACACAGCCTCTCTCCCTCACACTATTTTTCATGCTCTCTCTCGCTTGTTCTCTCTCTCCTTCTCTCACTCTATCTTTCACATGTTCTCTCACTTGTTATCTCCCTCACCATATCTGTTTCACATACCCTCTCTTTTGCATTGTTTCCCTTTATCTCCCTCATTCTCTTTCTCTAGCTCACGTGTGGTCATTCTTGCACGTTCTCCCTCACTCTGTCCTGTACACTCTCACATGTGCTGTTCTTCCCATGTTATCTCTGCTCTCGCCCTTGCGTGTTCTTACTTTCACACCATCTCTTTCACGTGTTCTCTTTCCATGTCTATCTTGTTCCTCAAATGCAAATAGCAAATTCAGCTCCATTTTAAGTGCCTGTATTCTAATCCTATCTGCAGTGACAGATTGAGCTGAAAGCATTTTGTTGCTGATGACTCAGACAGAGTTAATAAATTGTTCATTTATTTTCAGTTTCGGTTTTGCATCCTCAGTCTGTACCATTTTTATAACTTATGCCAAAACAGAATAAATGCAGCATTTAAAATAGCATAGTTTCCAAATCTGAAAAGTGTTGAGGTGATGATGCTATTTCAACTCTTCACACAGATTATATTGAAGATCTTCCTCTGGTTCAGGGACTCTTCATCTCTCATTCTGTCTCCCATCTAAACCATTTCCATCAACTTAATTTAGTTAATGGCAACACTGATTCAAGTTTGATGTTCTGTCTTTGTGTAGGGTTCTCTTGACTCCCAATGTGTACCTAAGTGGCATCCCTCTGACTCTGAGTTGGGACACTGAGTACTGAGGAAGGGTCACCGGACCCGAAACATTAACTCCGTTTTTTCCTTCACAGATACTGCCAGACCTGCTGAGCTTTTCCAGCAACTTCTGTTTTTGTTGGGACAGCTCCCTTTGTTTTCCCTCACTCTGCTTTCACTTGATGCTTAGAAAGTTCGACTAAATTCCATTCTCACCAATAGATGTTGGACATTTCGACATTTCTTGAAGCTAAATATAAATATCTGTGACTATGTCCTGAGGTCCTTGGAATGGGTGTTTGTTTGTGTTTCACAATCCAGAATATGCCATTTTGGACTTACAGTGCAGGACGGCTCTGATTTAACCAAAATGGCACTGGGATCTAGACTCAGAAGCCACCATTTTCTTCAGGGTGGAGGGGAGAGGTTGTATTTTACACATTAGTGAGGCAGTTGCACAGTGAAAATTACAACTGCCTTTAGGCAGGTCCAGTATGTGCTCTTGTAACATCCCTACCATGACCTGTGGACTTTAGGCCTTGCAGGAACATGTTTAAAGCTGCCAGTGTATTTTGAAGAGGTAGGGTCAGTTTCTGGATAGATCCTATGGACGCCTTTAGGAGAGGTCAGATGCTTTTTGGGAGACACAATGTGCACTTTAGGAGAGGTCATTGTCATTTAAGATTTTTAAAGTAAACATGAATATGTGTTAAAAAACCATATAAAACTCACTGAAACTGAGATGCTCATTAGAACTATCACATTGTCAAATCATTTAACTTACTTGACCTTTAAAGTTTGAGAAAGTTTTGCAGTGTTTGGAAAAGAAGTTTTTGCTGTTCCACTCTGCCTGCTGACATAGGTGGAATGGTTATCAGTAAAGGATTTGTGCTCCATGACTAATATCCAAACCTTTCATTATCACAGTGAGGTGCCTGTCAGTAGCTTGATTGGCTCCTCCAAGTGCATACAAAGTTTTTGAAGTGATGCTGTCAAACAAATACTTGACTTTATAAGGGGTTAAGTCATTGATTGAAACTGAACATAGTTGACAGGCCTTTATCAATGAGAGTGTTTTTTTTTATCAGTGGACACTTAATGCTTTCGATTTCATTTCCATATGTGTCCTGACATTGGCAGGGTAGTTAAAAGCCACATTGTTGTGGGTAAGGAGTCACATGTTGCCCAGATCGGGTAAGGATGGCAGATTTCCTTCCCTGAAGGACATTCATGACTCAAATGACAACTGATAATAGCTTTGTGGCCATCATTACAGACATTGACTTTCAGTTTGTGATTTATTAGTTGAATTTCACTAGTGTTCCTTAGACAACACCTTCTAAATCCACAGTCTGTACCATCCAAAAGGACAAGGGCAGCAGATACTTGGGAACATCATCACCTGCAAGTTCCCCTTCATCCCACTCTTCATCAAGGCATGAAAATGTACTACCATGTCTTCCAAATGGTCTGTAGCAGTTCAAGAAGGCAGCTCACCACCACCTTCTCAAGAGCAACTAGGGATGGGAAATAAATGCTGACCCAGTCAGTGACACCTTGTCCCATGAATGAATTAATTAAAAAAAAACTGACTTTACTCACTCCTATGGTAGGATATGAACCCATATCCCCAACACTCCAGTCTTCTATTCTTGGAATCTAAGTCCAATGACATTCCCACTACTCTATCATGTCACCTGCTGGCTTGCTGATGTAATTTGCTACATGAATTTTATTGGAAACTCTTTGTGCTTCGAACAAACAGGCTCACCTGGTGGCAGCCTTTGAGCAAAGCCTCGCAAACATGACAGGAAGATTGCAAAGTTTAACCATGACTGCTGAACAGAAGGTCAGTGTTGCTTGTGACCAGTTTAATGTGTACTCTGGTGTATTAAGCTTCAACAACGTTTTGAAAGCATTGGGGTACTGGGAGGATGGTTGGTTTTGGGACAAGTGGAAGTTATAAGGGATAAGTGACTTCCAGGGTAAATTAGACAAGCTGTCTTTGGTATTTTCTAATGAACCATTTCATAGAATATTATTACACTCCTCCGGAGCAGGTGGGATTTGAACCCAGGTCACCTGGCTCAGAGATAGGGACACTACCACTGTACCGCAAGAACCCACCGGGTATCTTTAAGTGAACCATGTGGCTATGAGCAGCTGCTGAAACAGCAGTGGATCAGACATTGTTTCCCATGCCCAAGGGATTGTCTTGTTCTTGTAATGTCAACAAATGTTATACCTTATGATTATACAGCCCAGAAACAGAAGTTTAATGCCAATGAGACTACTTTGGGTAATACAGTTTATAATTTAATTTGTATATGTTTTCCACAGTAAACAGTACTTCAGCTTTGAGAAAAGCCAGTAAGTCATTACAGTTAAACAAGATAATAATGAAATGGAGTTTATTTTCACTTGAAAGGAATGACTTAATGCCTGCCATTTTTCTCATGTTTAGGATTCTGAACTTAACGAACTGAGAAAAACCATCGAACTGCTCAAGAAGCAGAATGCTGCTGCCCAAGCTGCAATCAATGGTGTCATCAACACACCAGAACTGTCCTGTAAAGGTAAGGAAGCCTGTCGAAGTGTTATCATGTACTGCTTAAAGAGTTCTCTGCGAGGAATTGTTTGCGATGGTCTTACTCATGCTTCGTGATGATATATAATTACAGATCCAATCATGTATCAGTGCACAAATGTAATTTGTAAGGATTGTAGAATCTCTTCCTTTGTGATCAGGAAGCAAACTGATACACTTGAAACACCTTTAACTCAGATGTGCTTTAGCATCAAACTATCTCCCTGGTTTGAGCTCAATGGAAATGCATTATAATTAGCAAAGTTTTACCAAGATCATGTATGCTGTAGGCTTTTAGGCTTTTATTATATTTGTGTACAAGTGAACATTACAACAGAAGTGAAAAGATAAGCAACACACATTTATCACTTTTTTTATTAACAAAGATCCATATCTTTCCTGGCTCAGTTAGATCTGTTTTGGTCTTTTTTGATGTAAGCCTACAAATCATTCACAAGGATTGTGAAAAAAAACCATTGTTATTTGAAGATAAAACTAGATAGATAATGTTCACTGGGGGACTATGAACCACATGTCCAACTAAGGTGGTTAATGATTGGACAGTGGTTTAACATACAAGCCCTTTAACAAACAAGATAAACACACACCGTGCCACAATGTTGTCATTTCAGTCTTTGCCTGTAGCTACGTATAGGGGAGGAAGTGGCATCGTCGTAATGTTACTTGGCCCAGTATTCCAGAAATCCAAGCGAATGCTCTGGGAATATGGGTTTGAATCTCACCACAGCAGACAATGAATTTTGAACTCCGTTAGTAAATCTAGAATAAAAAAAACTTATCTATGGCAACCATGCAACCGTTGTCAAATGTTGTAAAACCCATCTGGTTCACCGATGTCCTTCAGGGAAGGAAATCTGCCGTCCTTACCTGGTCTGAGTCTTAACTACCCTCCGCAATTGGAAAGACTGAGTTCTGATGCCTCTGCACTTTCTTCACAGCAGGAAATGGTACATCTCAGTCAGCAGATCTGAGGATTCGGAGGCAGCATTCATCAGATAGTGTGTCCAGTGTTAATAGTGCTACCAGCCATTCTAGTGTGGGCAGCAGTGCAGAGGTGGATTCCAAGAAAAAGAAGAAGAAGAACTGGGTAAGTCCATGGCTTTAAACTTTGAGAATGTTTTTAAAATCAAGCTTCAGCCCATAGTGCCCTTCACAAATCTACAAATGATCCAGGCCGTGCTCACAACTCAAGGGAGTTTTATTTTCCTGGACATGGTACAAGGCATGAGCATAGTACAAAAGAAGGAGATTGTTATAATTGTGAAGTGATGTCATGTTCAGCAACAAATGCAATGTCTGTTGCTTTCTGACAATACGGTGATTATATATATCACCCAGATATTTTTGCATAACGCTTTAGCTCAAAAATGGAAACTCATTTCTTTGGTGAAAAAAGGCTTACTCTCTTTCTCACGTTGATACCTATAAGATTTCTTGATTGACAGTTTCTCCAATTTACAATCAACAAGCAGAAATGATCAGTGAGTGCACGCAAAATAGATAAGAGCAAGCTAATTTAATAATTATTTTAGTGTGTTAGAATTGAGCATGTTTGGTCTGTTGATAGTCTCCAATAATCTGCGGTGAGTACAAAATGCTAAATAAAGATCTGGTAAGAACAAGGTATCACAAACTAATTCAGTGAATCGTATATGCACTATTGGTTTGTAGGCTGCATGCACAAGCACTGGATTCTGTGAATTAAGTTGCAGTATCTCAGCACCATGGTTATTCTGTTATTTTAATGGATACCTCAATCTTATGTTTGTTTTCTTCCTTGCACATGTAACCAGGTACCTCCGTATGCAGATATAGATGTAGATTACCTCCATGGTTGTTCAATAGATTTTTTACTTTAATTTTACTGGGTTCCTGAGGCTCCTGCCCCATCCTCAATATGATTTTATGGTTATGGGGCTATACCTCTACTCGTCATGTCGTCACAAAACATTGACCCCAGCTTTCTAAATGGTCCCACTTGTTCAATTTGAGCCAAGACCAATAGCCTGAGAAGCTGCAGACACAGATGCCACCTCTCTGTATGGATCTACGGCTCTCTGACTGTTTCTCGTTCCTTCAAGGATGTTGGAACATGAAAATGTTAATCACAGAATTCGGGTTATTTAGTCTCTTTAAGAAGTTGAGTTGCTGATTTAGAAAATTGTTCAGCAAGATGACATTGTAAGAAGGCATTCCAGGTATCTGCAAAGGACCTGTTAGATGGAGTGTGGGGGATCTATAGCTAGCAGTAGTCAATCTGATCACGTGTTTGTCGAGACCACTGTAATACATTTTGCTGAAAGTTGAGCATTCATTATGTTGGCTATGTTTGCTGCCTAGCTTGTGTGCAAACTCTGATGTGAAATTATAGAGTGACATTTTTAATGGTGAGCATTTTAGGTCATTAATAGTTCAGAAAGGGTTCATAGAAAAAAAATTTAATGTTTTGATATTCATTTTATGATTTATTTTGTCTGATAGTAAACTTCATCTTGTTGCATGTTGTTTAGTTAAGACCCATTCTGTCTGTTAAATGATTGTTTAAGTAGCTATAATAAATGCCACTAAAATTTCAATAGCAAATAATATTATTTTGATGTATGTAATTTAAGAACTATTCTAATCGTGTCCTGTTAGTGTAGCTCTGACCACTTAGAATATACAGTTCATAATTAAACCACCACAGCAAATTATGTACTCATTTCCCTTCTGGTAGTAATTGATTTGCAACTTAGTACTGCCAGTTCTACATTGCTGCAAATAAATTCCAGAAAGGTTCCCAAGTTTTCACGGCACTGTGGAAACTAGATCTTCATTTGTCCAAAAGCGAAATACAGCTGATGCTGGAAATCTGAAGTAAAATCAGAAAGTGATGCAGATGCTCAGCAGATCAGGCAGTAGCTGTGAAGCAAAAAACAGAATTAAGGTTTAATAAACTCTTGATTTTCTCTGCACCGATGCTGCTTAACCTGCTGAGTATTTCCACCACTTTCTGCTTTTATTTTGTCGAGTTCGCTTGCTCGCAGCCACTCTCACCATTGGCATTTTGTAGAATTTATTTATCAAATAGATTTTTTACTTTGTTCAAAATTAAAATTAGCTTGTTGTCTTCTCTTCTTTTTCCCTGTGCTTGCACACTTCATGGCAGGTTTATGAGGTAAGTATGACCTTGTACTTGCAGATCACCTTAAATCTAGCATGACATAATAAACCCTTGGTACAGCACAGAAATCAGGAAACAGTTAAAAAGAGAGGTTCTTGCCAACTTCCCTCTGTGTTTGCCTGATGATGTGCCCCTTCTGTACTGCTGTGGCAATACTACTTACTTCGGCATGCCTTAATTATCACATCATAATTTCAGATGAGTATTTCACACAGATATTTCATAAATGTTAAGTCATTCCTCAAGGATACTGTTGTGTACTGTGTGGCATGTAATAAACTTTTAATATGAGCTGCTTCGAAGTGTTACAGTGGAACCCAAGAAATCTTTTTATTGGGTGTGGAATATGTCAGACTCCCCTTCTTTGGAGGATGGATTGTTAGAACAGGTCCTCTTTGTGAAGAAGTGCAAACAAATGAAAAGGAGGAAATAACTCTATACTCTATAGCATTGAACATAAGATATATATGTTTGCTGGTTGTCTTGTGGTATCTCCTGAGTGGTGTGATGTAACAAGGTCAAAGAAACCTGAAATAATGGTGAGAAAGTGAATGAAGTTGAGTGTAGTCTTCAGCTTGTTGGTTAATGGAAAGATTTTGGAGCAGTTTGATCATTTAATGTAGAATAATATTTGGAAAAATAGTTTTAAATGATAACTTTTTGAATACTTTTTATGATATTTAAACCTTAACCTTATAATTGATTTGGTTTCTTTCTATTCATTCAGGGGAAGTGGGCTGTGCCTACATTTATTGCTTATCCCAAGTTGCTACGATGAAGTTGGTGATGAGCTGCCTTCTTGAACGAGTTAATTAACTCGTGATTAGCATTTCTTCCTCTAATAAAGATAACAAAGTTAGATGAATGCTGATTTTTTTTTAAGGCTGGGAGGTCAATTTTATCCCTAGAATAGAATGGGTGGGAATGGGTTTTGCTGGTGATGAGGGGTGCATTGGGTTGTGGGGTGGGGTACAAGCCCATACAATGGTAAGTCAGGTGGCAAGGTTTCTGAGGCCAGGAATGAGTCTCCTGCCTGGAAAGGTCCTTGAGGAGGCCCCAGGAAAGTGTGGATGATCACGTATGGCCCAAGGCTTTAGACCACGATTGCCCAGTTACCATCCAGCGGACAAGCAAAATAGAGTCGGCTTTTTTTTTGTCAGATTAATGTCGCCAATGAGACATATTGCTGTAGTGTTTGGATACATTTAAGTCTTTGCTGACTTTGGTCCTCACCCAAACACAACACAAAAGTCAGTGTTGTTGCTGTGAAGCCATGTGTGTTGGTGAGTAAGGCTGGACTCTAAACTACAAAACCGGAATTTCTAAATCCCAGTCTCAACTGAACACTTTGTACTTTCCTGTAAGTACACATTTGAAAGTTTTTGGCCAGGTGAGAAGAGAACTTGTGTTGGTGTGTGAAGATCCGTGTCTACCTTGCAAAGTGTACCTTCTGGCTATCCCAGTGGGTGACAGTACCAATCACGATGCATCCTTAGATATCTTCCGTACTGGTCTTAATTTCAATTCTGGTTTCTGGAGTGAATTTTCTCTGAATCATACGTAAATCCAGGCATTATTAATGTGCAATTCATTTCAATGTTGCCGTTTTCAATGCTTCTTGTTTGTTTGGATTGTGCTGTAATGTGCTTCTCATTCTGACGTGTTTTCTTTTGGTTGCCTGTCTAATATTCTAACCCAGTGGGAACTTTCAGAGGGATTTAACCTACTCACCTTGGGGAAAAAGATGGTGAAATGCACTTTACTCATGTTATGATCAGAATTATCAGAAAAAGTTGTTACACAAAGTGAAAAATACTTTGAAATAAGTCGTTAAGGTTGAAGTGTGGTCCACTTTAATAATGCAGCAAGCCAATGTGAGATTCAAACTTAATTCTTCTCTCCCAGGTTACAGAACAAGACAAGCTACTGAAGGCAAATCTTTCTTGCGATATTCTGGTTTATAAAGTTATGGTTTTAAGCAATACCTTAATATGAGGTTAGACTCAAGGCAATCTTGTTGCAAGTACAATTTCGTTATTTAAGAAACATTTAGACAGGTACATGAATGGGTTAGGCATGAAGGGATATAGACCAAATGCAGGCAAAATGGGACTAGTTGAAATTGCGAAAACTGGGCGGCATGGGCAAGTTGGGCCAAAGGGCCTGTTTCCATGCTGCAGACCTCTATGACTCTATGATTCTGTGTTGAAGACATTATCACTTTTTATGTCATGTACTGAATCAGGTTTTAGTTGCTTGGCGAATCTCCCCGTAGCCACATCATATCAGCGGGAGATTGGTGGCAAGCCTGAGAATGGTTTTTGACATGGTTCATCCGTGATTTCCACTGATATGGAAGCAGGAGATTGACACCTGAACTCCTTTTTGCCATGCTTCCTGTAACTGGCTGATGCAAGAAAGGGAGAGGTATCTTTATTCATGCCAGAGAGCCACCTGTAAGCATATTACAATGTGACATACGCACGATTTCTAATCTATTCTGCAAAATGTGTGTAATATCTGTATGAAGATCTTCACAAATGTATTTCCTTCCAAATACACACTTTACATCCTTTATAAATATTTGCCTTGTTTAGTTAAGAAGTTCCTTCAAGCAAGCATTTGGCAAAAAGAAGTCTCCTAAATCAGCTTCATCTCATTCGGATATTGAAGAAATGAATACACCCGATTCTTCCTTACCTTCATCCCCCAAGTTTGCTCATAATGGATCTACTCCCACAACCCCATTGATGAGAACATCGCACTCCAACTCACTGTACGTAGACTTTTACTTACCATAGGTATGCAGACACTCAGATGGTTTGCAACTGTGGGTCAGACGTGTATTCCTGATGGAGGACTATGCAGCAATGGTTAACTGTAACATGTGTACCAATAATTGAGGTCCCATAGGGTATACATTATAGGTTTAACCCGTACGATACAAGCTCCACATAACCATTCAAGCAACAAGGTGATGCAGTCAATGACACCAAATTGTACCATACAGCCATTGTCCCCAACTCCTCATTGACCAGCTTTGGCTATGCCTTGTCTTACCAAAGAAGAGAGTGTGACATTAAGGAACTCCAGCAAAATTGAAATCAGTTGGTATCAGGGAGGTAAATAGGAAGGTAGCACAGTAACGGTGACATCACTGGACTAGTAATCCAGAGATCCAGGCTAGTAGGAATTTAAATTCAATTAATAAAATTTGGAATTGACAGCTAGTGACCATGAAACTATCACTGATAGACATAAAAAAATCTCAGCTAATTTGTTGCTGCCCTTCAGGGACTAAACGTACCTACCCTGTGAAAGACCTAAAAAGTCTCTCAGCTAAAGGGCATTAAATGTTGGCCTTGCCTGTGATAACCACATCCCATTGCTCAAAGGAAGATGGTTGTGACTGTTGGGGGTCAATCACCTTAGCCCGAGGACATCTCTGAAGGAGTTCCATGACCTTTCCTGTAACAAAAGGCCAGAAGTGAGAAATTTCACTAATAATTGCACAATGACCAGTGCCGTAATGATGCAGATACTGTCTGAATTTGTGAGACCTGAGTAACATTCAGGCTTGGGTTAATAAGTGGCAAGTAATATTCATGACACACAAGTGTCAAGCAATGACCTCCAACAAAAAAATCTAGCCATTTCCTTGTTGATGTTCAACTACACTACCAATTCTGAATCCTTCAACAATTCCTGGAGGCTATCATTGACCAGAAACTGAATGGTAACAGCCAGATAAATACAATGGCAATGAGAGGAGGTCAGTGACTTGGAATTCTGTAGCCAATAACTCACTCCCTGACTCCCTCATGTCTGTCCACCGTGAACAAGAAATATCTTCAGGAATGCTGTCCTCTTGTCAGAATGAGTGCAGCTCCATTAACGCTTGAGAAACTTGACACCAAGAACTTCAGTGGAAGTCCTCTCCATTTGGTTCAATGGGAACTGGAGAAATATGTTTGAACTGCACTTGAAACCCGTGTTTTAATTCAGTTTATTTCTCTTGTTTATAATCACTTACGTGTGTTTTGCTGTCAAAGATATATCAGAAATGATACATAATTATTCACACAGATTAAATATTGAGCTGTGCCAAAGCAAACACCATGTTGTTAACCATTTTAATCTTTTAAAAATTTGCCTATTCACTATTAAAGCAAATTACCCTTCCTCAATTGATGATCATACTGTTCCAGTAACTTCTTAATCTTAAGCATAGTTTACTCATTTACTGAGGAACTCTATTTGCCTTCAGTGTACTGTATATTCTGTGATATACTACAGACGGAATGTCGTGGGCTTGATTCTGATCATGCTGCAGCATCAACGAGATGCAGGCAGAAAGTTTGACCTATCTGTGTCACAGAGAGCTCTGAGGCCAGTCTCTCTTTCAATCCTCATTTTTACCAGTCACATTCTGCTTTATAAACTGCAAAACGGAATAAATGCACTGAATAAGGAGTGATGACATATCATTGCATATTGATTTCCTGTTGAATTGTTAGGCAGGACAAGTATCATGGGCTAGATTTTACAGGCTGAGGTGGCCTGGTAAAAAAGGACATTTTTGCCATTGGCAAACGTTTGCTCAACAATCCTGAGAGAAAGAATACACAGTGCCTTTTTCTTAAGGACAGAAAGTCTGTGTCATACTCTGCCCCAATTTCACATCAGCAAAATAGGTGGCAGCGTTCGCTGGTTCTTTTCTCAGGGCAGTTAACTGCCTGCTGTTATCTAACTGGTGCATTTTCCATGGCAACACTTGTATCAATCTAGTTACATGACCACTATGCCATCATCTCCCCCTATTTATTATGATGTGCAGAAAGGCCATGGTGAGAGCTTCTGCCGATTTGTGGTGCATTTTAGTTTTCCAGTCACAAACATAATACTAACGTTTAAGAATATATTTGCATATTAAGTAGATTTCAAATCTATCATTTTGTGCTTGCAAGATGTTTGTTAGTTGTCTTTGTTATATCAGGGAGTTGGCATGGAAGGGTCACTGAGTGAATGGATTAATAATGGTCCGTGGTGGTTTTTGCCTCCCTTTCCTGTTGTCTCCCAAGCAGCATCTCTGAATGTATCGACGGTGAGGCTGAGACCATTATTCAGCTGCGCGGTGAGCTGAGAGAAAAAGAGATGAAGTTGACAGACATTCGACTTGAAGCACTGAGTTCCGCTCACCAACTTGATCAACTGCGTGAGGCCATGAATAGGATGCAGGTGAGCAGACTCGCCTTCTGATTTTCTTGAATGTGAGCTTATGTATTATTTAACTTGGCCAAGAATGTATGTTTCAAATAGCTCTTGTTCTCCTAAATGCTGAGGTGACTGACTGACTTTGATGTTTGGAATCAATCCAGTTGTCTTCTCTAACCTTATCCAGGGCCTCTGGATCAAAACGTTCCTTAGCCAAATTACAGTTGTGGCACGCAATGTGAAGGGGTGTGGATTACCTCTCTGTGATGATTTGCATTAGTGCCTGAAGCTGTTCTGGGTCACTCCAGGCCAAGGTTTGCACAGGGAAGATAGGAACATTCACCAAGCAGGATCACACAGGCCACACTTATACATGGGTCAGGATTTGACTCAGCTTTTGGGTATTTGTCCTTTCAGCCAAGATCAGACTGCAATGTGAGGAAAGATGAATGTTTAAAATGGACACCTTTTGTCTGAAATTACTTACTAATCAAAACGCTATGAGGGAAAGCAAAATGTGAATATATAACATTCACCTGTAACAGGTACTAGATAACATTTGTTTTAACCCTGTATATACAAGATTATATCATTTAAAATGATGCGTTATAGGACTATGGATTCAGCAATAGTAATGATGCCTAGGAATTTTTTTTTCTCCTAAAGTATTGCCCCCTACAGGTGTCTGGCTGTACACAGACCAGAAACCATTTACTACCTTGCCCGTTTGTGAGCTGAAACAGAGACTGCTCATGTGCTATTTGACACAGGAAGTATTACAGCAGAGCTTACTCCTGTTGTGTTCTGATATATGCTCTGTCCCAGCAGCTGAGCAGGACTAGGGCATCTTTACCCTTCTCTTGTCCAATTAAGCCCAGTTGGATCTCCCTGAGTTTGCTAGTCCAAGCCTGTGTTTGAAGAACAGCTCCCAGGGCCGAATGGCCTCCTCCTGCTCCTAGTCTCTATGTTGAAGTTGCTGAGATGAGCAAAGCTCACTCAGCACAAACTGGATTTGAATATGCAAATTACAATTAAGAATGTCTCACTGACACGGTATCCAGCTCATTTGCCTCTATCATGAGATCGGTGCATGTGAGATTCGGCACGCAATCCATTATTGCTCATTGAGAACGACCTATGATCAGCTCTTGTCACTGCAGCTAAATATTTTTTAAGTGATTCCATAGATTTTTACCTCCCACATCTCCACTCAGATTCCATTTTATCTCTTGATAAGTTTTTAGTTGTGGAATTACACAACAGATTGAGTCCTGAGATAACAAGGTGTAGATGAACACAGCAGGCTAAGCAGCATCAGAGGAGCAGGAAGGCTGACGTTTCGGGCCTAGACCCTTCTTCAGACATGGGGGAGGGGAAGGGGGTTCTGAAATAAATAGGGAGAGGGGGGAGGTGGATAGAAGATGGATGGAGGAGAAGATAGGTGGAGAGGAGACAGACAGGTCAAAGAGGCAGGGATGGAGCCAGTAAAGGTGAGTGTAGGTGGGGAGGTAGGGAGGAGATAGGTCAG